AGCTATTGTGGAAGTTTTTTTTTTTTAACTAAAATATGTTGTGTGTTTTGTTGCTACAATTTGTATCTCTATTCTCTAAGTAGTTCAGAATTGTTCAGTTTGTGCAGCTCGAAATCTCAAATGACGGTGAATAGTTGTTGTTGTTGTTGATATTAATTCTGGTTATATGTCTATGTATCTTTTTTTTATTTGGTTGATCATCTTGAGTTCCTCATTAATTGAAAGCTGTGAATTATTGCCAGAGATTTTTATTGTCACGGTGGTTATAATGGGTTACCGATCCCTTTGTATTTTTTAATCATTATAACATTTACGTGTTCTGCCACTACTTAGGGAAAAGCACACTGTTGAATCATCTATTTCTTACGAACTTCAGGGAGATGGATGCTTTCAGGGGAAGGTTAGAATGCTTTTCTCCAGTTTATGGTGTTATACTGTTATATGTCTAGAGATATTGTCGTCAACAATATTCTTCAGTGGGCATCATTTGTGAATATGCCAATCAGATACAAGGAGCGTGTTAAAAGTTATTGATTTCTGTTATATGACTAGGAGCCAGACAACAAAGGGCATATGGATAGCCAAGGCCGTTGGCATTGAGCCATTCACAGTTGTCATGGACTTGGAGGGTACAGATGGCCGTGAAAGGGGCGAGGTGCTTTTTCTCTTTATATTTTTACATTATATTTTGATGGGTGAACTGGAAACGAGTAACTTCTGTTGGATTCATGTTTTCTCTAACACGTATATACTAAGACCATGAACTTGTTTGAATACAGTTCTGCAGTTGGATATCTGGTGCTGATTTATTCATTTTTTTTATATGATTTCAGGATGATACTACGTTTGAAAAACAAAGTGCGCTGTTTGCTCTAGCAGTTGCAGACATTGTCCTCATAAACATGTGAGTTACTAAGCTCCATGGTCCTTGGGCATAATGTGGATGACGAGTGTACGTAGTCTATCATATTCCTGGGTTGTATGTATTTAGGTTGAGCTTGACTTTAGCTGTTGAAAATGGGTGACAGAATCTGATCTCAATTATATTAAGCACTTAAGGAAATAAGGAATCATCTATAACCTTTTCAAATTGTGAACTCATATCTACATGTTGCAGTTGGTGGTTGTAGATTCTACTGTAAGCAACCTGTATATGCTTGATAGAGTTGTAGTTTGTAAACATGGCAGTAATTTATGTTTGCTAGCAATTACAGGGTACTTCTGGTAGGCTAATACATTTAATTTCTAACAATAACCTGCTATTGTTTGCAGTTGGTGCCATGATATTGGTCGGGAGCAGGCATCCAATAAGCCCCTTCTAAGAACTGTTTTTGAGGTGCATAGAATTATATCCAAAACTTGTGTGGCAAGTATGTACTTTTGCATAATATTTTGTTTTCCTTGTCTTATAGGTCATGATGCGCCTGTTTAGTCCTCGTAAAACAACACTTCTCTTTGTCATACGTGACAAAACAAAGGTAATGTTCTAGGAAGATATGTCTTGCTTCCTTAGATGATAGCATTTATTCTTTATTCGTTCATGGTATCTTTATCTCGTAGACCCCAATCGAATATTTGGAGCCTATTTTGAGAGAGGATATACATAAGGTAATCTGAATTTTGTTCTTTTAAAAGTTTGTTTGTGCAATTGTAAAATTTCAATCTGTGTGTAAAGGCTTAATTCATTTATTTTTCTTTTTCTTTAGATATGGGAAAAAGTTCCTAAGCCCATGGCATACAAGGACACTCCTCTCAGTGAATTTTTTAATGTAAGAATAATATGTACATCCTGGATTCTTTCATGAGTCTTGTTGGACTGTTTTCTTGTCTCTTATTTAATTAAATATGGACTTGAAGATGGAAATTACTGCCTTGCCCAGCTATGAGGAGAAGGAAGAACAATTTATAGAACAGGTAGTTCTATCGAGCTGTCGAAAACTTAATTGGCTTCCTAATATTGGCTACAAAATCACAACAGCTAAACTGCCGTACAGGTAGCCCAACTTAGGCAGCGGTTTTTCCACTCAATATCACCTGGAGGGCTTGCTGGTGATAGAAGAGGTGTCATCCCTGCTTCTGGATTTTCTTTTAGTGCAGAGCATATATGGAAAGTTATCAGAGAAAATAAGGACCTTGACCTTCCTGCTCATAAGGTACACATTTATGTCCAGCGTGAAAAGAGTACTCTGGATTTTTCTTTGTTTTCTGAACCATGCTACTTTTTTCAGATCATGGTTGCTACTGTTCGGTGTGAAGAGATTGCCAACGAGAAGTTCAATTGGTTGGCGTCTGATAAGGTTGGTGTTTTTCCCCATCTTTATGTACTTTCAATCACAAATGGGCAATTGTGAATTTTCGCCTTCACATAGGATTGGCTGGCTATTGAAGAAGCTGTACAAACTGGAGCTGTTTCAGGCTTCGGGAAAAGTATAAGCTCAATCTTGAAGAATTACCTCTCCGAGTAAGCTGAAAATGTAAAATGTAATTGACTCTGTTTTGGGTGTATATAGATGAGATGCTTGCATGGAAATGTTTGTATGCATATAAATTTGGGTTCTATGTGCAACCTGTCGAATTTCTTTTCTTAAAAGTTTATACATCCGTCACTTGTACATATACATGAGCTTCTCACGGTTTCATGACTGTTAAACATGTCCAGCCCGCCAGTACACTTGTAAATTGTTTTTGACTTATTGTTTTATTTTGCCATCCAGTAAAATATAAGTTACACTGAGCTCGGAAATTCTTCGCAACTTATTGGTTGATTGAGTAATTGATTCGCATCTCATATTTATTTGTGACAGATATGATATGGAATCTACATATTTCGAAGAAGATGTGAAAAATGCTAAACGCCAATATCTGGAGTCTAAAGCATTGCAGGTGAGAGTAACATTGTTGCGTGTCTTTTTTATTCAGATAATGGTACAAATAATAATAATAATAATAATAATAATAATAATAATAATAATAATAATAATAATAGTAGTAGTAGTAGTATCCCCTACCTTTCTATTGTGCATATATTTTTCTTTATTTGGAGTGACTAATCTGAGGCTACCCTTGTCTTTTCTGCAGTTGGTCCATCCCGCTTATGTTGCCATGTTGGGCCATCTACGTTCAGGTGCATTTCAAGGCTTCAAGACAAGGCTTGAACAACTTTTGGGTAGAGGAGAACCATTTGCTGCATCCGTTAATACATGTCAGCAGTCCTCTCTGC